TTTCAGCTCTGCTCCGATTTTAACCAAGTATGTCAAATATTGTCTAGTTTTCTGAAAGCCAATGAAAAAATTATTATTTTTTTTAACTCTTTTTTTAAATCAAGTTTTAAATCTGTATAGTACAACAAAGTATTAGGACCAGGCTAGAGATTTATTTTTTTTGATTAGAGAATAAAGTCATAAAATTACTTTATGCGAGTTTATTCTTGTAATTTTATAACTTTATTCTTGTAATTTTATGACTTTATTCTCATAATATTGTTTAAAAAAAAATAAAAATCTCTTGCCTGGCAACAATACTCGTAGTGTAGAAGCCCTGAACGCTCTTAATAGAATAAAGAACATGTATTACCATAAATCCTCACTGAAGTTTTTACCCCTTGTCATCCATAAATCATTTTTATTGACCATTGGACCGCTGCACAAGAAATAACTATAGTTTTACAGCCTGTATTTGGATGGAAACCTTGAAATAGTGCATAAATTGACTGAAGAGTCTAAATATTTCAGTCTAGTAACACATGGTAGAAAAATGTTTAAAAGAACATAATTTAAGCACTTTACTTTGTGCCGAGCTTAACATTGTTTTTGTTATTACTGATTTAATGTTTTTCAATGTTGTTTCATGGTTGTTTTTGTTTTGAACCCTTTATCCTGGAAGTTTAAAGAATTATTTTTAGCTTCAGTGCTAATTTAAGCCAGATGTCTGTCCTAGGATGTTGACCATTTTTTTCCTTATCTCTTCATTATGTAAAAAAAAAAAAAGAACTTAGTACTGTTCATTGTGTTTTTTAGTGTTTAAATTCATAAAACTGAGACAAACAAGAAGCTGTTATCTTGTATAGCTAACAATAGTGAGCATCATTTTAATAAGAAATAGTTTTTCCAAAACTAAACAAATTTGAACTTTATTGATCTCACATTGGAGAAATTTACCTCTGCATTTAACCCATCCCCTTGGGGAGCAGTGGGCAGCCATGGTGGGGCGCTTGCTGAGCAGTATTGGATTAAAGGTCTTGCTTAGAAACACAGAGTGGCAGTCTGTGAGAGTGGGGCTCAAACCAAGAACCTCAGGATTCCAAGCTCTATGCCCTAACCACTAGGCCACCACTCCACACAATTTTTGTTTTATCTTTATTTTTTTAATAATCTAGTCTAATCCCAGATCCCAGTTCTGACGTTAGTTTGTCTAAACTCAGGATAAAAATACCATTCAGGTGGTTCTGTAGTATCAGTTGAAAATATTGCATTCAATTTGTATTTTAAAAGTCAGATGGCCCAGGCTGTGTGTTGAAAAAATAAACAAAGCATCCATTGAAGAAAGAATTTGGATTAGGTTAATATTAGGTTAGAAATAGGTAAATAATAAACAGTAAGTTGTACTTCTGAAGGGTTGTCCAATGTTAAAAAATTTAACATACAAAGCATTGTGGTCTGTATTTTTGAGGCTGTTTCTTAACTTTTTGAATGAATAAATTGGAGAAAATCATACCTTTAGCTTTTTTTTCTTTAGTACAGGTAAGCCTGTTATTTTAAGCAAATCTTGCTATAGAATAGGCTAAAATAAGCCATAACAACAATTTACAGTAAAGAAAATCAGATGAATCACCGCTTTTCACTAAGAACATAACCGTGTTTAGAATTTGTTACCATTATCTGGGACAAGGGATTATTAAAATGACCAAAATGTTAATATGAGATTTACTTGTGTATAATGTATATATAAATGCAGTAGCTGGTACATAGAGCATGTGTGCCAATAAATAATATCAGCCGCTGGATCCCATTCTTAGCTCTCATGCATGGGGATATGGTTACCATAGAAACACTGGTTACATTTAATGCATATTTGGAGAGGATTTCAGTGCTTCAGTTGCCCCAGCAGTTCAGTTGCCTGCTTAAGAGACTCTTATGCGATAAAAGCCCATAGCTGTTGGATGCATGTTCGCAAGATGTTGATGTACATGGATTGTTCTCAAAATGGTTCCCTGTGATTAAATATTCTCATACTGTGGGCCTTCGCCCACCCTGTGAGTCAGTAATGAGGATGTTTAAAGGACTTCTTCTTTCTCTCAACTTGGCCCTTCTCCTCAGGGGACCTGAATGCACCCTTGTGTCTTGAACAAACCAGAAGCAGTTTGGTAACTTGCTGTGAATGCTGGTTTTATTCGGTAATGGTTTTAACCAAATTGTGTGAAGAATGCAAAACGGTTCACTTTGTCAGGAGAGTGCCTCTCTCAGACTGCTAATCAGTGTTTATACACTGGACAGATCACAAAATGAAGGAAAATTAACCTATAAAACAAATAATATTAGCATCTATAAAGCCTAAAGAACTTACTCCTTTACTACATTTCAGTCAGCGATCAGTTTATAGATTATTGACCATTATTGTAACTTCTTTAAATAATATAAAGTAGCACAGTCTTGAGCATATAAAATATGAACTATTGGAAACATATGCAAATAAATGCAAGCTCAGATTTTTAAGTAGTCCGTTGATCTAATTTCATTTTTGGAAAGTGATTTAACCTACATGCACAATCCATGCTTAACCTAAGACCAAAAAAAAAAAAAAAAAAAAGATAAAAAAATCTATGCTTTATCCCAATAATCTGGTATTGGAGGCTTTTTGGACTCAACCATTTAACACATCAATGCTCATCTGTAAAGGGCAGATTAACATGGGTCAGTGTGTGTTAAACTGTATTAATCAATGTGCTGGTGGGGAGTTGTGTAACTTAGGGGAGGCAATCAGTCTAACATGTCCTTCATTGCATGCAATGTTGTTTCTGCAGCGAAGCGATGGAGAGGGGGGTCTTCTGTCCGTCCATACAGCTGCATAGAGGGACTGTCCACGCTCAGCTTACCCATCCTGCCTTACACTAAACCTGCTGCACTAACTGAGACCAGAGGTAACACTAAGAACCAAGCAGGTCCACAGATGATTAAGCTGATGATAAAGATTATCCTGATCAATATGAAGGGTTTTCATCATATTTATTTTGTTTATCACCTGCTGTGCTTAGTTTAGATTTTAAAAAAAGAATAGTAATACATAACTATAAGAGAAATTGAAGGGGGTTATGGGATATGCAAAATAGTTAATAGGTTGTGCAGTTTCTTGGAAATTTTTTTTTTTTTTTTATTCCTTGTTTCTTTTTACCACACAAGTCACTCTGTTTATTTTGATTAACCAAAACTTAAAAACTGAACATTTTGGGACGGATGTATCTGCAGCCCCAAATAATAAATGCAAATCTTTTGGTGGACATCTCTACTGATGCAACAATCTGGCGCCATGGATGGCTGCCTCGGTGTGTTGGTACGCTGTAGGGCAGACTGCAGTGTGTCATCCGGTCTGCAGAGAAGGTGATTGGCTGCAATCTCTCCAGGATCTGTACACGTCCAGGACTCTGATGCATGCAGGAAATAATGTGGCTGATACCTTGCATCCCAGCCCCAAACTATTTCAGTCATTTCCCTCTGGCAGGCGGCTTCAGTCCAGCAGGACCACACGCCTCAAGAATAGTTTCTTCCCATCCGCTACCAGCCTTATCAGCAAGGCCCAGAGAACGCTGTGACACTAACACTGCCTCTGTCCCTCCACCGTTCAGGACCTAGAAGCTACACCAACGTGGCATCTCAAGATCTCTAGCATTAAATTAACACACAGTCTACTGTATACTTTATATTGTGTATAGTAGATTTTATATTGTATATAGCTATAGATTATGTATTCTGTAAATATATCCAATTTGTCTGCACCATCAACACCAAGTCAAATTCCTTATAAGTGCAACTTACTTTGCAATAAACCTGATTCTGATTGTGATTCAACTCTTTAGTTTCTGGCTGTACTTTTTTGGCAAAAAAGTTCAAGCTCATTTTAATTTAGAGAGCATCCAAGAAACAATAACTTTCAAATTCTCTTTTCAAGGCTTGTGGCTACTTCTTAGTTCAAAAATGGGTTATACACCATCAGTTTCTGCGTAAAGAATGATAATGAACCATGTGAGTTGTTCAAGGTTGTGAGGATGTTGCTATCTAACTAATCCTGTTTTATAGGTTTCAGTGAATTCATCCCTGAATGTTCACACAATACTGTTTTACAGTACTTTTCTTACTAATTAGGGGACTTCTGATGGTGGTTGGTTGCTGACTTTTTTAAATGTAAAGCATATTTTCAAAGCATTTGTCATTGTCTTTCCTTTGCTTTATGTTGGTCTAACTTATTTTTATTTATTTAGGTTTTTAACTTTAGATATTTAAAGTCCATTAGATTCTGTTTGGAAAAATGTCCATCAGAGAAAAGCCGACTTCCACTTCAAGTCCATGTCTCGTTCTACTCCAAATTAATCTGAAGGTTGTGCCAAAAGCAGCTGTTACTTCAGAAATACAGTGAGACATTACTGTATTAACATAACCCAGATTCTCACAGAACCTACTCCCTGCAGTGTAAAATCAGATTACAGTAAATTGTAGAGCAGGGATTATATGATCAGATCCTCAAGATGTTTGAAGAGAAACTCGGCTTAAATACTTCCTGTTCTGTTTCTTTCCCTTTAAGCTCCGCTTTCGGTATCTGCCCAGCCTGTTGTCCAGCCAACTCCCCCTCACAGAACCAGCTCCAGCCTCAATGACAGAACACCCACTTTCCTTTCCAACTCAGCTCTTCACAGTAAGACCTCACTTATGTGTTTTCTCTGCTCCATACTTTTAATAGTATTCCTATGCAGGATGAAAATATATATATATTTGTGGATTCAATATTTTTGAAAATCTAGATTAACCTCACTGTAATCTTAGAATTAATCTAGATTTAAATAGCTAGTTTGCCAAAGGTATTCATAATGTGTGTGCTGCCTCCAGAATTTAAAAGAAATTGTTTACTTTTTTGCAAAATCACAATTAATTTTGTCTTCTTACTTAAGATTATGAAAAAGTTATAGCTACTTTTTTTTCGCTCTGAGTATTTGCTTTTGCTTAAGTAAATGCTGAGTAACTGCTTTTTTTGTTACTGAGTATTTGCTGCAAAAAATTGTGCCCCACCTGTAATTATAGATGTCACACTTTAACAATATACTGTAATATCTGCAAAAATCTGACACACACCTCGCCTCGATCAACTTCTCATCTTTGACGGTTCTCTTCGTGGCGTGCTGGTCATGTATTCTCCTCATGATGGTTCGCCTTGCAGGTACTTTGTAAGATGGTTCACATGTGGGTGCCTGCAGAATGAGCTTGAGAACCTCACCTTGGATGTGGTAATTTCACAGTATAACTGCACAGGTTGAAAGACTGATTAGTTCTCGCCACCTGATATACATTCACGCTAAAATATCAAGGTGAAAGTCGTCATTAATAAATACCCAGCTCCCAACCCAACTGTTAGAATACATTTACAGCAATATGTTTTTTTTATTGCCTGATAAGAGCCTGGCATTATCGCAATGTGTTAACGCCAATAATATATATGTATACCATAAATATATATATATATATATCTAAGGTGAAGCATCTTTACAGGATTCAAAAGTTTGTCTTATGAGGTTTAATGTCTCCTTTATCATTTTAGGTGTTGGTCGCCGCCATGCTGCCATCACGCCCCAGTCTTCGCTGGACAGCGACGTAGGGATGTCGGAGCTGGAGGAAGACTCCATCTCTATGAGCTACAAACTGCAGGACATGACAGACGTGGAGGTCATGGCACGACTCCAAGAGGAGAGTGAGTCACCTCTAAAAATATACATCATTAAAAATATATTTTGTTTTTAGTTACATTTAAGCTTGTTTTGGCCTTGTAAAGAAACATATGGTGATTTAAAGAATATTTACCTACCAGAAAGGATGTAGATTCTGAGCTACACTTTAGTTTCATCAATTTAAAATGGAAAAGTTTTCACCTCCGTTTTAAGTCACAAAAACCCCTTCGTATCAATAATACTGATGATGAACAAAAGTGGTACAAAGGCTACCCATGAGGGACACCATTAGTTATAGTGAATAAAGCAGTGATTTTAGAGAGGCAGTCAGGCATTAAACTAATGATCCAACATTAAGACATTAAGGACAAAGATGAGCTAAAATATAAATATTGTCATGTCTAGGTTGAGGTTTGGAGGACCCAAATGCAGAGGCAGAGAGGCTGAGGTGAATACTTGTAGTTTTAATGAAAAAAAAGGTTAACAAAGGCAGTCCAAAAAGCCAACTAAAATGTAACAGACCAGAATCATGGAGACATCAAGGGAAAACACGTAGAAGGAGCCAGGGAGAGACGAGGGGAGACGATTGCAGAGATGACAGGACCAGCAACAACAGAAGAACCAACAAAGAGTGAGAGCAGAGGGAGAGCATAAATAGCTGACAGAGACAAAGGGAGGGCTAACGAGCTGACAAGGAGCAGGTGTGAGAGGAGACAATGAGGGAGCCAAGGGGAAAGGAACACACACACACACACACAAGATGGCAACAGAGGACAACAGAAAAACATGAGAACTAACATAAATCTAGAAATTACAGCAAAATAGGAATTAAACCAATAAAACTAGAAAACAAGGAGCAAAGTAAAGCACAACATAACCAAAACCATGACAAATATGATCAATCAAAACCTTTCCTCCCAATAAAAATGCCTTATAATGGTTATCTGATTATAAAAGAGTAAAAAAAAAATACTTTCTATTAGGGCTGGATTATTACATGAAAAAAAAAAGATTTGAAATTGCAGTTGCCCTACATTTAGGTGTTGTTATATTTAATGGGAAATAGACACTAACTCACTACAGCCCTATAGGTGGCGGTAACACCCTTAAAGGGGGTTTATTAATTATGATTGAACCAAATTGATCTTACATTGAAGAAAATTCGCCTCTGCATTTAACCCTCCTTGGGGAGCAGTGGGCCACTGTGTAGCTCCACTAGGCACTGGGCCAACACCCACCCAGCTAAATGTAGATCTATGCATGAAAGTTAGATGTAAGCACTTTTCCCACTGATCTTCTCTATTTATTCACTGGATTGCTGATAGCCCGTTGATAGTACATGGTGCTTTGAAGTTACCAGCCGCCATATTGGTGCTCCCTAGTTAAAACCGGTCAGAATGGAAACAATAAGTGCACTACAGCAACAACAAAGATTTTTCAGCCAATTTCAGGGGGGCTTAAGACTTTTAGGACAAAGAAATGTATCACTTTCACACACACTTGCTGTTTCATATCATCAGTAGATTACGGTAATTTGTGATAAATAAATAGGCACATCACATTGCATAGTCAGTATGAAGTCAATGAAGTCTATAAATCATGTAATATAACATATTATACAATTCCATCACAACAGAATTGATGTGATTATGGAGCATATTAATACAGATGTGCCAAAAGTGCTACTTGAATATGTACATGTAATATACAGGTGTTGATTACATTGCCATGGTTATTACATATAAATTCAAGATTTTACATCAAGACTGAATTACATGTACATGTCTGTTAATGCTATAGTATTTTCTTATTTGCAAATTGTGCATGCATAGTGCCATATACTTTTATGCTGTCTCTGTGCATTAGCCTTTAAATCTGACATAGATTTACAACAAGGCTAAATTAATGAAGCAGTTTAATAACTCCACTGAGCTTTAGTTTCTACACTAGCAAAATCACATAAATTGGCAAAATAACAGGCAACATCAAATTCAACAAGAATCTGATAATTTGCATACACTATACATACAAGTATGTATGCACACACGAACATACACTATCCAGTGACTAATTACCTTTTATAATATAACTTACATATGTATGTACGTAACATACATGACACAGGATGTGTGTGTATATGTATATATATATATATATATATATATATATATATATATATATATATATACCGTATTTTCACGACCATAAGGC